AGCTGTTCAAACCACCGCAGTTCCTTTCAAACGGATAACATCAGCCGTTCGAACGGCTGCATTTTTGTTTTGTTTTTTTCGAACGGATAACCATTTTTTTCAAACGGATGAAGATTTTATTGGAACGGACGACCGTAGCCGTTCGAACGGATGACGATTTTTTTCGAACGGATAACCTCAGCCGTTCGATCGGACGAAGAGTTTCTTCGAACGCATAACCTCAGCCGTTCGAACGGATGAAGATTTTTTTCCAACGGATAGCAGCAGCCGTTCGAACGACTAGAATTTTTTCTGAACGGATGATCCAATCCGTTCGAACGGCATCCCATCGATGACGAACGGATGACAAACGGATGACAAACGGATGGTAAACGGCAAGCGAACGGTTTTTAAGCGTTCGAACGGATAGCCGTAGTGTGCGTTTTCGCGTGAGAGGTCACACATATCGAGCTGTTAATTTTAACGACAAACTTTGTTGAATGTTTCTAAATACGCATAGAAGTTATTAATATTGTTATTATTTTTTTTTTTTCAAAACAACATTTCCTTAATATAATTTTGGAGGGATTTATTTACTTCAATGCTGAGCGTTTTGTTCGGCTTTTTATGTTTCCAAAAATTCCCGCGCGAGTCGCCATGTTCGTTTACCTTCAGTGTAATGAGAGAATATAACGTCTTCGCCTGGTCAGGCGCTTTCGACAATAAAATCGCAATAGGAGGTTATTGGCATTCCTCCGTTTATGTTCGCTTGAGGAGAAGATTCAAGGTTAATACGAGCTATTACTCATTTAGTGGAACATACACTTTATCCGTGCAAGGCGAAAGGAAATTTCATCCTCTAATATATGACTATTTGGGTACAGCAACTGTCTGATCATATGTGATCGTTACTTAAGAATTAAGCTGTGTCAACTGAATATGCCTGTAAATATGGGCTGCACCCTTGCTGACTGCGATAGGACAATGGGACAATAACTTTACCTGGAAAAGTATTTTCAAAGCAAATAAGTTTGCCGGTAGAAAGAAAAATTCACTGCTTATTTGTAGTGGCCGTTGAATTTCCGACATCTAGCAAACTGACTTGCTGAACGCACCTGCAAAATCTAGAGAAGCAAGCAAGTCTCTTTTACAGGACAAAGAAGTAATATATCAAACACGATTTAAAAGCCCAAGTTTGACCACATTTCCAAATGCCGAGAGACCAGTTCAAACTACAACGCGTAGCGGAGTATTGGCGAACTTCGAGGTGTTTGGAAATATGGTCAAACACTGTCTTGAGTGTTTGATTTATCTTCTCAATCGAAACTAGAACTGAGGAGAAAACGGAGATTTAAGATGGTAAATACCTATGCTAATTAGATCAGATATCCAAACACCGTCACGGTCAGGATTTCTTTTAATTAAACTTGATGAATTATTAATGAGTTTGGAAATTAAATCATGAAAATCAAACAAGAACTGATTCTACCCACCTTCAACTACAAGGGCAGCTTCTTTGCTATCTTTCCCCAGAACACTAACTGCAGTACAATTGTATTTGCCAGAGTCATTATAGGTC